ATTCCTGAGCCCCTTTTACACTGAACAAAAAACCTGTGAAAGTTGTTCACAACATGTTCAGTAAGTGCAGAGTGAAGACACAGAGTATAGAGACCTGCAGCGCCCCCTGGAGGACACACCTTCGCCAAAGCAAAACTAAAATTGTTAAGGAAAGCAATTAAAAAAGAAAATCCTGGCTCCGCCCCTTTAACCAGGTCCGGGTTCTTCCTGGACCAGGTCCCATCCCTCCACCAGGTGTACTGCAAATCAGTCCAGTAATTTCTGTGAAATCCTCCTGACAAGTGAAGAGACGAGGGTGAAAACAAACCCTCGTCAAGCAGCTCATCGTACCGACAGAAAAATAAACCAAAGTAACTGAACGTAACATTTGTATGTAGATAATGTGTTACTGTTTATCTGTGTTAATGTGTGTATCTGTGTGCCTGTGGTGCGTTCAGGGTTACGTGTACAGCTCGGCCTCTCGCCTGCTCGGCCTGGAGCTCAGTGAGGAGTTTGTCCAGCTGCAGAACAACATGCTGCAGAAGTACAGACTGAACGACAGAGTTAAGGTTGGTGTGTGTGTGTGTGTGTGTGTGTGTGTGTGTGTGTGTGTGTGTGTGTGGTGTATGACTGATGACAGTCGTGGTCTGGTCCGGTTCTGATGTGGACTCTGCTGCAGGTTCTCCATGCTGACGTCTGCACGCAGGATGTTCTGCTGCAGAACACCGATGTTCTGGTCATGAACAACGTCTTCGAGTTCTTCATGGAGCCCAGCGAGCAAGTCAGGTGAGGACACACACACGCACACACACTAATACACACACACACACACACACAGTAATACACACACACACACACCACACCCACACAGTAATACACACACACACACACCACACCCACACAGTAATACACACACACACACACCACACCCACACAGTAATACACACACACACACACCACACCCACACAGTAATACACACACACACACACCACACCCACACAGTAATACACACACACACACACCACACCCACACAGTAATACACACACACACACACACACTAATACACACACACAACACACACACACACACACACACTAATACATGCACATACACACGCACACACACTAATACACACACACACACACACACAGAGGAGACACAAACTACTATTTCCTCAAATAAAAACCAGGAGCCAATTAAAAGCCGGGTTTGAGTCCTGTATATGTTATACCAGCAAATGTTTCACAATAAAAGCCCTGTTCAGAAATGTCCATGAAAATACTACAGGGCTTTTAATTTGAAACTTTCACAGAGCAAACAGGAGTGGATCAAAACAAGACTTGTTTGTGTGTGTGTGTGTGTGTGTGTGTGTGTGTGTGTGTGTGTGTGTGTGTGTGTGTGTGTGTGTGTGTGTTCAGAGCGTGGAGGTTCATCATGCAGAACTTCAGAAAGACAGGATCTCTGTTGGTGACTGTTCCCAGTCTTCAGGAGAGTCTGGACGCTCTGCAGGTAAAACTCACACTGACACACACTCTAGAGCGGATCCCCAACTCAGACCCCCAGACCCCCGGGAGGCCCCAGACCCCCGGGAGGCCCCAGAGCCCCGGGAGGCCCCAGAGCCCCGGGAGGCCCCCTGGGACCCTGAGGATTACTCCATATCATCTGAGTCGTCATCATCACTTCAGTGTCTTCCTGTGTGTCAGCTAACAAACAGAAAACATCAGTGAAGTCGTATTATTCATCATCATACGTCTGAGAACGTCCTCTAATGTCCAGCAGAGACGCTGCGTTTACTGTCATTAAAAAAAAACCTGGGAAAACTGAACCTAACGTGTGAGAAGCTGCTGCCAGCGAACAGTTCATAATGAAACCTGCTGCTTTCAGTTCAGCTCTCTGGGTGTTTGAGGAAATGATAACACTGAACACAGGTCCTGTAGGGGTCGGCTCCTCACTCTGATTCTTTCAGTTCCTGAAATGATTTGAAACTGTTTGTACAGAGATCACTGATGGTTGATGTCCCATGTGTCCCATCTAAAACATCTCACACACTGAGGCTTATTCCATATGGACGAGTTGCTGCTTTTGAAAGTCTGGATATATTTGTGTCAGTTCTAACGTAAGAGACTCAATATGAAACTCTCTTGCCACATCGCAACAAAACATCAGCAGCTCAAGCTACAAGAAGCCTGTGGACATTAAAAAACTACAACCCCCAAGGTGCATTTCACCACCAACCATCCAATCACAGAGCAGATATCTACAGCAGGAAGCAGTTCACTTTTAATTTCTGTTTTGTTGACAACTGCAATGACAAAGTGAATTCACACCTCTAACTAGCTTTGTCTCCATGGCAACGGCACCTGGGGCTAATGGGTATTGTAGTATTCGCAGGTGTCTGCCAGGAGAGGTTCTCTTCAGTAACAGGAAATGGAAATGCACTTCACGACTCCACTGACCCGCCGTCACCTGAAGCTTCAGCTCACTGCGAATGTGCAGCTCTGTAACTGGGTGGTTGGTAGTGAAATGCACCTTGGGAGTTGAAGTTTTTTGATGTCCACCGGCTTCTTCTTTTTCTTTTTTTACCAGAGTAGCAGATATTGACACTGGGTCTACGTCTGGGTCCACGTTCTTTAGACCAGTTCTCAGTCGACCACATTATTGAAAAATCCCTGTGTCATTATATTGATGGAATTAAATTGTATCCACCAGGAGGCGCTGCGGTCCGGCTGGGTGGAGGAACTTCCCGTGGATTACAACGTTTACTTGGGCAGAGACACAGACCCCGACGCCCTCAGACAGATCCACCTGTACAGGGTCATGTGAACTGGTCTGGACTTTTCTGGACTGGACCAATTTTAGCTGGTCTGAACTGGTCTGGACCCATTTGATTCCTGATCTGGTTTGAACTGGTCTGGACTGTTCTGGTCTGGTTTGAACTGGTCCGGACTGTTCTGGTCTGCTGACAGTGAAGGACAGTATAATAAAACACAGCTGGATTTTAAAGCCACAAGTAAAGATTATTTTTATTATATTTAATTGATCTGATTGATCGTGAAATAGTGGAAAAACAGGGAAATCTTCATATTTGAGAGGCTGAAAACACCTTTTTTAATTTGATTGATAAAAATCACTGAAATGATGAACTGGTTATTAAAACTAATGGTTGCAGATCAGATCTGTAATAATATAATTTATGTCCTTAAAGGAAGAGTGAAGAGGAAATGTTTCTATCTGTTATTTACTTATTACATGTTTATATGTGAGTAAAGTGTTTGTTTATTTACACACTTGATTATATTTTGACAATATCACATAAATGAATTAAACACATTTTCTTGTTTGTTATTGGATTTGTTGACACAAACTCGAGGAACTGGTTATAACCGATCTTGGTCATCTGGCAGCACATTAGGAACCTGGTTTCGATCTCACTCTGGAGATCTGGTTTACATGGAGCACACTGATAACAGTTTCCAGGTTCCTGCTGAATCTGCCTTTAAATATTTTTATTTCACGGTTTGATTTGGTCTCCAGGTACCATCATGTTTCTAGACTAACTGAGGGAGCCGTGGACCGCAGGCAGGTGTGTCTGTGGCTGTTGCTGGCCTTACATCTCAGCCAGGGTTCTCCAAATACCTGGTCACAACATAATAAGCAGCTTCACCAGCTCCTCTCTGATGACGCATCACCTCCTGCCGTGACTCACTTGTATGTGTCACTACCATCGCTGCTTCCTGCCGCTCACTCCTCTGACGTCATCGTTCCGTTTCATCACCGCGGTCGCTTCAGCTTCTCTCGCAACACAGCAGGGGCCGTTTCCAGGGCAACCATTGGCTGGGATTGGAGGAGTGGCGGGACGGCCGACCAACCGGCGGCCGTGGAGGACCGTGAAGTCCCGCCCACCTGCTCACCGAGTGTGGTGCGTTCAGGGGACTTATAGAAAACTGTTCAGAGAGTCGGTCAGTTTATTGATTTTAAATGAGGGAGAAGAGTTAGATGAGATTTTGAAAAGATAACTGAACTTTTTTTGAGGTAAAAAATGGCGCATGACCAGGGACCATGTTATTTCCATAACAGCACACAACTTTTCTTCTTCTTCTTTCTTGCTTGTAAACTTCTGTTTATGGTATGAGCCTGTAATTTAACTTTAACGAGTTACTGTTAAACTTGAAAAAACCCCAAAATAAACCAAAATAAACCAGACAATTAATCAAGAAAATGCTTGACAGACTAATTGATAATGAAAATAATTGTTAGTTGCAGCATTAAACCATAAACAATTAAAATTGTCAACAAATTAACAATAAATACTCTAACTGTAGTACTCATTTGAAATTACTTGTATTATTTAGTGGTTTTAATTATTTATTTTGAAAATAAATGAACTATTTAAGTATATTATTTAAAGCTATGATGTCAGCTATTACCAAGCTCCAGCGTCTTCTCTGCTTTTCTCTTTGATCTCTTCGGCTTTGGGCTGTTGGTCGGACAAAACAAGACATTTGAAGACGTCACCTGGTCTGAGTGAGACTGAGATCTACATTGTAAACTATTTTATGACAATTTATAGACAAAATAATTAGTCAGTTAACTGAGAAATTAATCATCTGATTAGTTGATGACTAAACACAATGATTATTTGTAACTCTGTGACTGTAGCTGTAGGATTGACCTATTTTGATCATCATGTTTTCAAGCACATATAATAAATATTTGCTGGTTCCAGGTTAAAAGTGTAAATCTCCCCTTTTAGTGTTTTTTTTTCATTTCACTAAAACAACAAATTAATTGAAACAGTGATTTGACATTATTCACTATCTATTATTCATTCATGACATTTTATAGACCTGAAAATAATCAGCTAATCCAGATGAATTCATGATGGACTGCCTGTTTGTAGCAGCCACATTATCATGATTATTATTATCACTTGTCTCTGTCCATGTTTAGTTCTCATGTCCAACATTATGTCCATAAACTGCTTATTTTTTTCAGTTCGACCTTCAGTCCAAAACCCACAAGATCAGACTTACACAACCATTAAGATTTTCAGACAGTGAAATTTCCCAGCTTCGGCTCGGTCCGTGAAGTAGATAAAAACTTGGTCAACAAGCCGCCAGTGAGGAGCTTTCAGCCCGGGGACTTCTTCTCCAGTTTGTACCGCGGATTATCTGTTCATCGTTACACAACTCGGTGTAGACCGTCAGAAAGCCGTTGCTGTTTTGTTATAGTGAGTGTCGGTTGGGGGGGTTGTGTGTGTTTTCGTTGTTGGGGGGTCAAAGAGTTTGAATGTGTGAGTTCAGACAGTGAGGAGCACGTTTCCATGTGGGCAGATTATCACCGCGTCTAACAAAAGACCCGCTCTCCTCCTCTCCCCTCCTGCTCGGTTTCCTCTCCGCTACTTTCTCTTCAGGACTCGGGTTTCGATCCGAGGCTTGAGTTTGATGTGTGCTGTCCGAGTTTGTGTCTGATATTCGGTCTTTGTGACCCAGTTTCCCTCCTTTTTTTCCCGTCAGAGTGCGGCCGGTGGAAGCGGAGCTGAGAGATGCCGCTTCTCCACAGAAAAGCGTTCATCCGACAGAGACCTCCGGCGGACCTGCGGCCGGACGAGGAGGTCTTCCTCTGTAAAATCACCCACGAAATCTTCAGGACCTACGAGTAAGTAGCTCTCGGGTCACCTGTGTCAGGTGTGGGTCGGGTTAAAGAGCCGTTGGAGCCGGCGGAGTGAAGTTTGAATGATGTCCTGACTGACAGTTGGTTCGCTGGCAAACTTCCAGACAAGATAAACAAAAGCCAACTTTGTTCTGGAGGAAAAGTAAAACTTCTGCCGGTTCACGAACATGTCAAAGTCTCCCTCCACAGGTAGCAGACCAGGGGTAAAACACCTGGCGGGTGTCGGGGGTGGTCTCTACTGTTCGGGGCAGGTGTAACGTTAAGTCAGCTAGCTAAGTGAGCTAGCTAAGTGAGCTAAAGTGGATTAGCGGCTAGCCGGTGGTTAGCTCTGCGGGTGTTAGCCGTTAGCTCGGTAGGAACAGGCCTGCTGTCAGTCTATACTGTTAAGCACACCTGCTCAGGTGCGCTTAAAGGGCAGTTACACCTGTTTTAACCGCACAGAGAGAGTTGAGGAGAGTTTGGTCAGAGTTAAACGTCAGAGAGGAAGTGATTAGTTTGTGACGTGAATAAAACCACAACATGAGGCACTGATCAGCTGTTCCTCTGAGACTGAAGCTCCTTTAACCTGAAATCAGTCAGGACACAAAATTGTATCAGGGTGAAGAATAAGCAAATATTTTTCACTGTGTTTGTGGAAAAATTTAAGTAGTTAAAAAAAAAATAATATAAAAAAAATAAACAAAATTAAAAGGAAAACAACAGGAAACTGAAACAACAACATTAGAGTGTGGAAACCAAGTGGTGTGTACTGTTCCTCTGTTGAATTTATCCAGATGGAGATATGTACGTTGGCCTGAGAGCTCAACGCACTGCAACTTAAGAAAACGCATTCAAATAGACAATCACACAAACATCTTCATCTTCATCAATTTGACAACATGTGCGACAAATACTGACAACATAACGGAAGTGTTTCCAGGGGACACTAAAAATTGATGAACCTGACTGGGACTTTTTGTTGTTCAATGCCCAATTTTGACTTTTGAAGTTAAAAGTGTTGAATAACTAATGAGTCCAGCAGGTTCATCACTTTTTTTCTTTATTTTTTTTGCCTTAATTCTGAGAGAGAGAAGGAGGGAAGTTGACATTATTCTGTATTTTCAGTTGCAGTAATGTTTGTTTTCTTGTCATTTCAGTTTTTAGTATTTTCAGAATCGCAACCTGAGAAATGTGTTGAAAAGTGTTGTTAAATCACCTTTTTAAAAACGCTGTGACACTGAGGCGACGTCCACACTGCTACATTTTTATTATAGAACATCACTTTTCCTACGTTTCCTCCTCTGTCCAGTCGACTCCAGCGTTTCAAGCCTCTAAAACTGAGACTTTCACCTGTTTTTATTTTGAAAACTCTGGGGTTGTGTTTTATTTTGAAAACTATGGGGTTGTGTTTTATTTTGAAAACTCTGGGGTTGTGTTGTAGTCTGGATGGAGAGAAACTGAGACCTTTTGGAAATTGTGATGTCACACCCACAGTCTCTCCTGATTGGCTCTCGTCAGCCTGGACTACCAGTGGTGAATACAGCATGATAATGAATTACAGTGTTACTGACCTTGTTGTCTTTGTTAGCAGCTGTTGTTCACTTACATTCTCTATTGTAACGCTACAACTGTCTTTGTTGTTCCTCGTTCAGAGGATTTTTTGCAACTAATCAACTGCAGATTAGACAATTTACTTCCTGTTTTCACCGGCTCGCACATGCTCAGTGTAGTTGAATGGTCATTTATGTGTTTTCAGGTGTAAGTCTGAACGGAGCTGGATTTTGCTTGAAAATGCTGTTTTAAAATGAAAATGTAGTCGTGTAGACGTAGCCTGAATGTAAAATGAATACAGGAGACACACACACACTTGGTCCACGGCTGACCCTGACGTAACCGTGTTTCTTCCTCCTCCTCCACAGTGAGTTCTTCGAGAGGACCATCCTGTGTAACAGTCTGGTGTGGAGCTGTGCTCTGACGGGTCGAGCGGGCCTCACTTACCTGGAGGCGGTGGAGAGTGAGCGGCGGGCGAAGCAGAGTCTTCAGAGCTTCCCTCAGTCTCTGGTGGTGCCTCTGCTCCACCTGGCTGCTCTGAGCCGACGCTGCAGACTGACGGAGCTCTGCGAGGACGTCTACACCTTCGTCAAGGACCGATTCTTCCCTGGAGAGACGGTCGACGTCGCAGGACGCAACGGAGCCAGGTAGTGAGGGGAGGGGTCTGTCAGGATCATCAGACTGAGCTCTGCTTATTAAATCACCCCTTAACGTCCTCTCAGTCATGACTTGGTTTAATCTAAACACACAGACTCAATATGATTTTAGATCTGAATATATCTAATGTCTGTTGCAGGTAAATGTTTTGAAATCAGAGAAAAAAGAAGCTGCAGAATTTTTGCCCGAGAATCATCATGTTTTTAAGTTTTCTTCAGTTTTTATGTAAAAATCAGAGTCCTGACTGGGTCTGACCTGAACCCTCAGACCTGAACCACATGTTGATCTGGTTCAGTTGACTTCACTTCCTTATGATCTCATTATCTCTAATGTCCCTCCAGAATAAAGCTCCAGAAATCCACTTAGAAACCAGAGAAACAGAAGCTGCAGAACTTCATAGAGAATCCTCCTG